ATTTATCATTATTTGCGGGGAATATCATGCGATACTTGTTCATAGATATGCAATCCATTCTGTGTTTTGCATAAGATTCCTCCTTTTTGAAATGACACAAGCATCTATCACATATAAATGTGCGATGTTGAGTCTTCGATAATTGACTGCTGAGTAGTCGGTAGAGGTTAGCGATCCACGTGTAATGGAAAACTTTTTCAGTTGGGTGTTGATCATCTTTTTCTTTAATCATCAAAAGATGAATAGTTTTCTCAGCTTCTTGCAGTGTCGTTGGGGGTCGCGAGCTCAAATATAACGGTGCGATCCATTCCTGCGAGCCCCATTCAAAAATCGATTAGATCTTGTTTTTTCAAATTAATGATGACACCACTCCTCATGCGCCCTTCAAATACACTTTGAATATCCTCCCATTGCACTCTATCAGTTAACTTATCACTCAACCCTCTTCCAACGGTTTCCAAGGCTTTAAATGAAACTTCGAATGTTTTCAATCGCGACAACATATATTTCAAACGCAATTTTTGACCCTGAGATACACCATCGTCCAAAAGATGTTTGACCTCTCGCATCTCATCTCGAATGTCATGGAGACTTCGTTGAATTTCCGCTGGTCTTCGCTCCATCTTCAAGATGTCATATTCCTCCTCCAAACGCTTGAGCCACGGCTTGCACACAAGAGAATTCATCGTGACAAAAATTGAAGCGTTACTCGTAAGTCTTACGTAAGAACTGATGGAAAACCATGGAAAAACCTCGGCTTTATAGTCTAAACAATGGGTGGGGGTAAATCACGTGAAAAAAAATACAAAGATAGAAATTTTCGCAGAAGGCGAGATAATTTTTTGTGAAAAGGTATTCTCAAGATCACTTATCACGAAAGGAAATTGAGTCTGAAAAGCTTTCATCTTTTTTACATTCTTACTCTTTTAACCCTGATCTAGCTAAAATCCTCGGGAATAAGGGTGATAAATCATGTAGGAAAACAATTTACAGAAATTTTCATGGATGACGCGATAATTTTTTGTGAAAAGGTGATTTTAAGATCACTTATCTCGAGAGAAAATTGAGTCTGAAATACTTTCACTTTTTTTCTTACACCTATTCTTACCCTCTTAACCCTTATCTAGCTGAAATACAGGAAAATAGGGGTGTCATAAATCATGTGTAAAATAAGTTTTTGTGAGATAGAAGACAAGGTATTTTCAACATCATATCCTAGTCTGCTCTTGAGATTTTTCAGATAAATTCTCATGACTTATAAGAGTGATCCTACAGCTTTCCACATTTTTACTCTCGCTGAATATTCTCTCTGAGTCATATAGCTTTTAAATCTGCTGATCAGATAACAGAGTAGAGTACAGATTTTTTCCAGAGGGATTGAGTATACCTTTCCGACAATTTCCCAATCGATGACCCTTTCAAGTTTTATGATTCGAAAATTGAGGCAGTGTACAGATTTTTCGATGCAGATAGTAGCTTTGGAATTCTCTATAATAAAGTAATGAAGCACTCGGTCTGGGTTATAAGAAGAGTTTTGGGTCTTTTATTGGTTGTGAGGTAAGTGGTCTGTGTTAGTCATTTTTCTATGTGCAAAACCCCGAAAAGCTCTCGTGGTGGGGGTAGTTTACTCCTATAAATGCCATTTGTCAGTCACCCTCAATTCACAGTCCACCACAACGTCTTCAAAGGACAGCAAAACGTGAAATTTCATTCGTGTTCGTGCAAGTGGTCGTGTTCATTTGTTCGTAACAATGAATCCCGTCCAAGAATATGTCGCCATCAAGGAAAATGTTTTTTGCCCATTGGAGTGGGTAAAACGTTATACGGCGGAATACCTCTGCGAGGAGTTGGAGAAGACTATGATTCTCCACCNGGGGGGGGGGGATTAAATCGCTTTCGACATATGTAATACGCATTTCATCCTGTCTAGTGTAAAATAAATAATATTTTTAATTATTAAATATTTTTTTTCATTTATAAAATACTAGATACCCTTCTTATCCTTAAAAATCCTAGCACTCCTTAATACAACATGCGAATCAAACCGTGAACTAAATCCGCGAATTAAAATCGCGAATTAAATCCGTCAATCAATCGATGAATCGACCGCCTACCACCCACTCGCGACTAATGAAATTACCACCCACTTGCAGGGGTACCCTTCGTGAACAGATCCTTCCTACAGCGTTGCAGTAAAAAATCCGCGAATTAAAATCGCGAATTAATCGATTAATCAGCCGCCTACCACCCACTCGCGGGATATCTTCAGGCAGACCCTTCTGACCCTCTCCAAAATGGGTTGGGCCAGATACGGCCTCACACATCTACTCTGATGCATACGCTATTTAAAGTGTATGCATCGATGGTCACGGGAAGGCTGGAGAAGGAAGTAAAGGAGAAAAAGATAGTACCGGATAACCAGACGGGTTTTAGGGAGGGGATGGGGACGGTGGATACTATATACGTATTGAATTATCTGGTGTGTAAGCAACTGGCAAAGGAGGGAGGAAAATTGGTGGCTTTCTTCGTGGATCTGAAGGCAGCCTTCGACTCGGTGAATAGAGGAGTGCTGTGGGAAACGCTAGAGAGGAGGGGGGTGTCAGAAGGGTTGATAGAGAGAGAGTGGAGGAGATGTATGAGGAAACGGCCAGCAAGGTTAGGGTAGGGGAGAAGGTGTCGGATAGGTGTTGGACGGCGAGAGGCGTGCCCTCTCAGTCCAATACTCTTCAACATCCTTCTGGCGGACCTGGAAGAGTTTTTGAGGTTTGGGTGAAGAGGAGGGGTCGGACTAAAAAATACGAAGGTATTCTCACTGGCATATGCGGACGATATGGTGCTGCTGCAGAGGATGAAGCAGGAATGAAAATCATGATGGGACAGATGGACGAGTACATAATGGGGAAGGGCTTGATGATAAACGCTGAAAAGTCGAAGGTAATGGTGTTTAGGAAGAGAGCGAAGAGGATGAAGGATAGAGAGGTATTGAAATTAGGGGGAAAGAAGGTGGAGGAGGTAAGGGAGTTCTGCTATCTAGGATATTGGTTTAAAAGCACGGAAGGGCAGGCGAGGCAGGTACAGGAAAGGGTCGCAAAGGCAGGGAAGGTGATGGGACCAGTATGGGGGATAGGGAAAAGGAGGTTTAAGAAAGATTGGAGGAGAAGAATTTGGCTTTTCGACGCTCTGGTCTGGTCGGTGGTGAGTTATGGGACGGAGATTTGGGGGAGGGGGGAATGGGATGCGGTGGAAAGGATGCAGGAAAGGTACCTTAAGTGGGTGCTGGGGCTAAGGAGAAGCACGCCGGGATATCTGGTGAGGGAGGACGTGAAATGAGATAAATTGTTTAGCAGAGGAGTCAAGAGAGCGTGGAGATTCGAGGAGAAGCTAAGGGGAGGGAAAGGTAGTGAGCTGGCGAGAGCGTGTCTGGAAGAGATCGAGAGTAGAGAGGTGATAAGTAAGGGGTCAAGGTGGGAGGAAGGTAGGCGCAGGTTTAGAGAGGAAAGAGGATTAGAGGCAAGAGGAGAGAAAAGGGCGGGTGGGAAAGAAGATAGAGAGGATTTTGGGTAAGTGGAAGAGGAAGAAAGAAGCAGGCAGGTGGTGGAGGGCGGGAGGGGATTGTGTAGTTTTCGGGAAGCCCATGGTACCCGGGGGTAGCAGTGGAAGGTATTCCGAAATACTTGGAAAATAGCTGGGGAGAGGAAAGATGGAACAGGGTAGCAAGATTTAGGATGGGGGAAGGACTGAAAGGAGAGAAAAGGTGGGGAACGGAGGAGATGAGAAAATGCAGGAGATGTGGGGCGCAGAGGGTGACACGGGGAAACGTCTTAGAAGAATGCATGGACGAGGATGGTAGTGGGAGAGGAGTAGCGGAGAGAGTGAATGAGATTCTAGGGGAGGATGGGAGGGGAGAGAGATGGATGGTAGAATGGGAGAATTATGGAAAAGAAAAGGAAATAAGTGGGAAAAAGGAGAGAGATAGAGAGAATGTAAAGAGAGATTGAAGGTGCGTGTGTGCGTGTGTGTGTGGGGTGGAGAGGGGGGGGAGGGCAACCGTGCTGAACGCGGGGAAGGGAGGGAGTAGAGACGGAATGATTAGAGGCTCAAACAGAGACCGGAAGCGAGGGTCCCTCTCATGCTCCCACTCAGTCTCGATCTCACGGAATGGTTTTTGATTTAAGTTATGTTAATGTATATAGGCATGTAAATAGTTAGATCATAAGTACGTAGTTAGAGTTTAAGCATATGTAAACGGAAGTCCTTGTAACCCTAAGGGGAATCAATGAAGTACAATAATAATAACATAAAAAGTAGATAGAATTAAAATTTACATGAATAGTATCACTATATATGAAAAAAGATAAAAAGCTCAATTATTATCATTCGAAAATATAGAAAAAATGATATCAGATGTTGACTATTTTTAAGATATTCGATACATCGTAATACTCAAGACTTAGCTTTGCAAAAGAAATTGTTGATCAAAGCGAAAGAAAAAAAATTAAAAATGAAAAAACTTGAATTATCTAACTCAATATTATCATTATTGAAGGGAAAAAAGAGTTTCTGAAACATATGAAGTATGATTAAAACGGTGACAGGCCAAAATCTCTCCGTCAAAAGTTCTCTGTCCATTTTCCCTCTGTCAAAACTTCTCGTGTCAATTGTCCCTTGAGTCATAATTTCTCCCGTCATTTTTCTCTTGAACCGTAATTTCTACCGTCAGTAGTTCTCTGAGGCATAGGTTTAACCGGAAAAATGGAGGTATTAATAAGTGATAATTAATGTTGAACATTGGTTTATTTTCTCATGATATTAACATAACAATCACAACATATCATGACGCTTATAAATAATACTTGTGGTTCTATTTCCATTTAGTCTTTTTCAATTATTCATTTTCAATATATGTTTTAAGCGCTCGTCGTATTGCGCATAACAACATGCTAATAAATAATACTTGCGGTTTCATTTTCTTTTAGTCTTTTCCAATTATCCATTTTCTTTTATAAGACAATGTTATAGGCGATACGGCGAAGGTACTCCACAATTTCAATATCGTCATAAGTTTTCACAATATTTATTAGGCGCTCGTCGTATTGCGCATAACGTTTTCGTTTCTTGCTCTGGATGGTTTGACCTGCTTCTTCTTGTACAATGAGAACTTCAGTTCTGCTTTGCTCAGCTTTCAAGCAGTTGATGAACTCTCCGATGCTTGTGTGGGCCCGTGAAATTGTTTCGTTGAAAATATGATGCCAGCCCTCGACAGAATTGTTGGTTCGTGGATTATCATTGAGGACGCTCTCATAATGGTTCCATATTTCGTGGGCGAATTTTGGTGGTCCAAATTTACGTGCGCCCTTCTTCCCAATCCATGTTGGCTCGAAGTAATCAAGAACGGGTTGGAGGTCATCCTTATGTTCTTTGAAATAATCAGACTTTTTAAGCTTTTTATAGGCCATCAAAACATCTTTCAATTTGACGAACGCTAGTGCAACAATCATCTTCACCGCCATCGCAAACTCGACGTCAGTGCCATACTGTACTCGTTTTCCAACATCTCTTACATGGAAATTCATTCGCTGAGCGAAGTGAAAATGGCAGCCTTTAATTGTTGTTTCTGGGAAGCACTTTATAAATGCCTTCATGAAGGCCTCTTCGTGATCAATCATCAGAATTTCTAGATTCAATCGTGGTTCCGCTTCCTTTAACACTTTGAGAATAGCTTTATATGTGGATTGTCGTTTATTGGGGGCCAGAATGTAAACAAGCGGTAATATTTTGCCGGTTCGTTGACCGTGTAGTGTGTACAGTGGGCTAAAGATCCCTGGTACACTGCGAAATGTGCCATCGGCAAACCACATTTGACTTGTTGATAGATATTCTAAATTTTTGCGTGTTGTGAAGATTAGGAAGCGATCTTTGCCTGTGCTGTCGTGGAGAAGGAATTGTTCTCCTTTCATTGTTGTGGTGAAATAGTCGTCTAGTATGAGGTCCTCACGACTGGCCGGTGTTTGAAGTTGTGGAACTGACTTGCGACGTGCACGCTGTACTTGACGTTGTAATGCTGGTAGTGTGGGCAATACAGCAGCAGTTGGAGATGGGACCGTTTTTATCGCGTCGGTTACAATCGCCCTTGTCTTTGCTGTTGTTGTGATTTTCGCCTTTTTCTTCATTTTTTGTCTCACTTTTTTTACTCCCACTGGAGTTGGATCGGCGAGATGATTGTGCTCCACTCGATGTATAATTTCGCCTATAGATCAGATGATTTTGAGCGTTTAATGTATTGTTTTCATTATGTCACATGATATGGGGATGGTTTTCACTGACCAGTACGTTTATCCGATGTGGTGTGTACTCTTCCTGGGCATTTTTTTGTTTTGGCTAATTCACATCGCCAGGAAATTCCATTTGTTAGCGGTTTGTCTTTGTGAAGGATGTGCCCGTCATCCACTAGATCGCGATTGCCTTGTTGATTTGTCATAAAGTGTAGCGGCATTGTGAGGACTTGTAAACACAGNTATATATATATATATATATATATATATATATATATATATATACCAATCCCTACTATATATATATATAGTATCTTTTGTCTGGGGGAAGCAGGCATGGAAAAATTTAATAGGAAATCCTAGCGAATTCCTTACGTAATTCTAGTATAATCCTATTGGAATTCTATTTAGTTTCCTTAAGATTTCGATGAGATTTCTATGCGTGAGTTTTGACGCGGTAGTTTTCGGATCGTGGATGTTTTGACGTGGGGAACTTTTAACGGGGACCTTTTGACGTGGGGAACTTTTGGCCTGGAGAACTTTTGACGTGGGGGATTTTGGACGGGGAACTTTTGTCGGAGAACTTTTGACCGAGAACTTTTGGTATGTAACCGATTAAAACTACTTCGTAAACAAAGTATTATTATTATAAATAATGAAAGATGATTGAGATCTCATGACAAATTCTAATCATTATTCAATGATGGAAGAGTGATTAGATGGTTTTTCATATATTTTTTTTTCATTTAAATATTCAATTTTCGTATTGAACATTATAGAACAAAATAGACATTAATGTTTTGAGTAGAGAAAAATGGTTCCTAAATACCCTGAATATGGAAATTTCAACAATTACTAGCAATCTTCTTCGTTCTTAATTCTATTATTTATACTTCCTAAAACACTTATATGAAGAGAATTCTGATCTCTGCATAATCAAAACAATAAAGTTCAAGTGAGAATTAAATACAAATAAACAAAAACATAAAAAAGACCGTATAATAATTTGCATTAAAACATTAATTATACAATATTGAAACCTTATTGCCAATATCTAGTACTTTCACTTATGCTTTTTGATTGTGCAGAATTCCTGACGTTTGAATTTTGAAATAAACAATGTAACTTCCGGTCACGTGAGATTTTGACCCGGTATATTGAAATACATTTGATAAACGTGAATTTTATAACCTAAAAACTCTCATATGATATTGGAATTTAAATATCGTGTCCAATCAGTTATTATCAAAGACCATACTACCGGAATTCTTCGTGAGAATGAAATAGAAACTGATTTTTAATCAATGATATTTGACTGTCAACAATTGAATTAATATACTGTACATAATAGATTAATGAAGAATACTTGGAAAATATGGGAAAATAAATGAGTACTCTTTCCTTTCATTATTTGACTGATTTCCTCGAATTAAAACAATCAGCGACCAAACTCATAAAAAGTGAATCCCAGGTACGTTTTCTTAATATTTTTATTACTATAATGTTGAAAATTTATAGAGAGACAAGAAATTGTCAGTCAAAGGAATCAAAGGTCAAATTCCAAAATTTAAAACTGAAATTATTTATTCATGGTTCTATGAACATAGAAGAGATATTTTATTTATTCCCTTTCCTTTAGAGATAAATAACCTATTGTGGAATTATCTCCGAAACACAATAATGTCATCATTTTTTGCTGCTTTGATGATATGAATCAATCCTACTCTTCACCTGCCTTTCCTGTCTCCCATTCCTCTGAAACCAATACCCCAGGTAACAGAATTGCCTTACCTCCTTAACCTCCCTCCCCGCCAGCATCCGTTTCCCTTTCTTCCCCTTACCGCCGCCGAACACAATTACCTTTAATTTCTTCGCATTAATCGTCAACTCCTTCCTCTTCATATATTCTCCCACAAATCCCATCATCAGCCACATCCCCGCTGCATCCTCCGCTAACACGACCATATCGTCGCATACGCCAGCGAAAAGATTTTCATCGCTCCCAGCGGTACTCCTCCCTTCCACCTTTTCCTCAGTTCCTAACCCCCCTCGCTGTCCAGAACTTCCCAGATACCCTATCCCCTACCCTAACCTTGCTCGCCGTCTCCCTGTAAATGTCCTTCACCCTCTCCGTTAGCCCTTCCGAAATCCCTCTGTCCCTCATTAACTCCCATAACACTTTCCTGCTCACCGAGTCAAAAGCCGCCTTCAAATCGATGAAACACGCCACCAACTTTCCTCCCATCTCCCCCACCTGCCTATTCACCAGATAGTTGAGCACGAAGATATAATCTATCGTACCCATTCGTCTCCTGAACCCAGTTTGGTTGTCCGGCACCATCTCCTTTCCCTCCACTTCCCTCTCTAATCTCTTTGTCAACACTGACGCATACGCCTTGTACAGTGTTTACATCAGTGTGAGCCCCTTGTACTCTTCCACCTTCTTACCCTCCCCTTTCTTCACTATTGGGGCCAGCAGCCCATCTTTCCACTCTGCCGGCCAATCTCCACCCTTCCATACACCATTACATATCCTCCACGCTACCCTTTTCATCCCGTCTCCCCCTTCTTTCCAGATCTCATTCTCTATCTCATCCTCTTCTGTCGCCTTTCCCCCTTTCAGCTTCTTTATCGCCACTTCCACCTCCTCATATGATAAATCGTCCTCTCACTCATTCCATCCACCCCTCCTACCCTCTCCTAACACTCACCATTCTACTCCTCCTGACAGCCTCATAAAATAGTCCTTCCATTCTTCCAAACCGATCCTTTCGTTTACCGTCTTCTTTGTTTTCCTCTCCCTATTCACAACCTCCCATACTCTCCCCTCCTCCACTGCCTTCCCCACCACCGCTTCAAACTTTGCCCACTCCTCCTCGTTCTTCCTCAGACATAGCTTATTATAATCCCTTTTCCTAACCCTCTACTCATCCCTCGACACTTTGCCTTTCCTCGCCTGCCTCAGAGTCCTTCTCACTTCTTTCTTATTCTCCTGGCACTCCAAGTCCCACCAGTCCTCCCAACGCTTCCCTTTCCTTTTCATCACGCTCTCTATCCTACTTTTGATCTTCTTCACCCGTTCCCTTACTTCCTTCACCATCTCATCCACCGAACCCTCCCCCCATTCCACCTTTTCTAATTCACTTCTCAGTTTTTCTCTCTCCTCTCTCTCCCAGAAAAATACCTTGGATGACTTCTTACTTCCCTTCGTTCTGGGTCCCCCTGCCCTCGTAGGCTCCTCTCCTTTCACCGTTACCAGCAGTGGGAAGTGATCCGAATCACATTCCTCTCCCACCACCATACTTTCCACTATTCCCCTCCCCCTATCGTCCATCAGTACGTAGTCTATGACCGTCCTATTTACTCCTTCCTCTCTTGTGAACTCTCCCTCCTCATCCCCCTTGTGGTTTCCATTCAAAATCTTCCGTCCCGTTTCGTCCAGCGCTTTCACCAACATTTTTCCCTCTTTATCCACCGCCCTTTTATCCTTAGATCTTCTTGACTCTCTTCCCCCCCTTCATCATCCTCCACCAGTCCCCCTTCCGTCCCCGTCGCTGCATTAAAGTCCCCCCCCCTATCATTATTATCTCCTCTCTCTTTCTCTCCATTTCTTTCTTGACCCTCCCCATTTTCCTGTCCATATCCCTATTTACATATGCCCCTATTACTCGGCATGTTTCCCTCTTCAGTCTTATCTTCCCCTCTATCCACCCCTCCGTCTCTTTTCCTTCCTCCTCCACTCCTTCTCACTCTTCTCCGTCACTCAACTCCTTCCTTATTCCCATCAACATTCCTCCCTTTGCCCTCCCTTTCTTATAATCCCTTGCGGCTAGTTGTACTTTTCACTAGTACCCGTCAGGCAGTCTCTTCTTCACCCTCTTCCAGCCTGCTTTTTCAGTCCAAGTCTTCATTAACACCAAAACGTCCCCTCTCCTCAGCTTCTCCCAAAAGTTTTTGTCTTTCCTTTCTAATCTCCTCATATTCCAAAAAACTATTCTCACTCCCTCCTTTCTTCCCGTTTCAATCCTGCCCCACCTTCCCTACTGACTATTTGATCCTCCCCCACTGGCTGATCGATCAGCTCTGTCTCCATCTCTCCATTATCTACCTCCTCTGTCCTGTTACCCACCCTTCTCTGGCCCCCCCTTCTCACATCCTGCCATTCCTAACCCCTCTCATTCCATAGTTTCTCCGTTCTTTCATCGATAATCCACCTCTCTCTATCAATCCACATCATTCCCTTTCCCACCCTTACTCTTCTCCCTTTCCTTCTTTCTATTCCTTCTACGCGCTCCAGCCTCCACTGCATCCTCCTTTCCATCCACGTTAGATCGTTATCCAACCTCTCTGGCCTACCCCTCAGTTTCGCCCTACCTTCCATCACCTTCCTTTTCTGACTGGGATCCTCCAGCTCCACCACTACTGTCCCCCTCCCTTGCCCATCCTTTCCCCCCAGATTTCTTATTTCCTTCACCCTCACCTTGACCTCCAACACCCCTGTCAGTAGTTCCACAACGTTCCACAGTCTTCCGTCCCCTTCTCCCAGTTCAATCTTTCTCAGCACCAAATTCTTACTTCTCCTCTCTCTTTCCCTTTTTTCCTCCCTCCATTCCAGTTCCCATACTCGTTTTTTCAGTTTTTCATTTTCTCTGCACACCTATCCTCTCCCTCTCCCCCTTCTTCCTCTTTTCCCAACTTTAGTTCCCCCACCATTTTCTCCAGAGCTTCCGCCTTCTCTGCTTTTCTTTCCAGCGCTTCCAACCTCTCCCTTACCTCCGCACCCTCCTACTTTCACTCCTTTCCACCCTTCTTCTTGTTTTTCTCTCCTCCCCCTCCTCCCCGCTCTTCCAATTCGACCGACCTCCTCCTCTTGCTACCTTTGCTATTCTCCGACCTATTTCCCTTCCGCCCGAAACCCTCCCTTTCCACCTTTTTCCATGTCTCCAGAGAAGACAGAGATCTGGTTCTCCCCCCAATAGCCATACCAAGCCTCACCAAGCCTCTCTAGCCTCTCCAAATTCGTGGGTCTCCCTCTCTTTTTCTTCCCCACCTCTGCCCCCCCGCTCCCCTCTTTATCAGAAAGGTCCGACAACTCAATCGAAGACTCATACACGTTCTTATTTTGGCCTCCTCCACTATCCTGCTCATTCCCCTTCCCACTCAAATCTTCCTTATCCTCCTCTCTCGCCCCTCTTTCGTCACCACTACCCGCTCCCCCATTCCCTCTCGCCGGTATCGCCATCGACCTCGACGACACCACCATTGAGCGGAACAAATTACTCATTTCCCTTCCTTATCCTTCTCATCTGCTCTACCGACCTGTCCGGCCGTTAGTTGCCCTTATCACCGCTGCTCTCTATCTATCACTACCTTCCTCCTCCCACACCCTGTCTCCCGCCAAAACAACACCTATCCCCCTCCTGCCCCTTCTCGCCAAGATCAACCTAGCTCTTTCTCCCCTGAAGCCACCGCTAAATATTCCTCCAATCTGTTGTATCACCCTTCACCACCCTCTCTCCCTTACACCAATTCTTCCTACACCGCCTAAGCCCCGCGCTTTCTTCCTTTTCTCCCCCGTTCACTCCGTGCCAAGCTAACCACCAAATCACCCACCACACTTTTAACCCTCCTCCACCTACTCACACCCCAAACACACCACTTTCACACCCCTTCACACACCACTCCTCCCCTCTTCCACCCGTTCCCACCCTTTGCCCACCCACACAACCTCTAAACCTCTTCAAAAGAGCAACAAACCCAAGCACTGTATATACCTGCCACACTCTCCTCGCAGACCGGAAACGGAAGTCCTATTCAAATATATTGTACATAGAATATCAAATAAATAGTATTCAAAGCAATATTATATAAATAATAAAAAGATTTTCAATATAAATAATATTATTTATCGAAAATACTATTGTATATAACAATTTGCATATAACAATAAATACATTTATACATAACTTGGATAGGGGGCGCATGCACGAGCCAGTTCGTGACAGTACTGTTTTTATTTAGCTGTCTGCTTTTTCAACCTTGCAACGCTTTATAATTTATTTTTCTGTCAAATTTTGGTTCATTAATTTAAAGCACATTGTCCTTGACATTTATTGAATGTCAGATCAGATGATCTAATTTTTATGTCTCTTAACCTCTTGTCTTTGCTGTCAAATAAAATAATTCGAACCCACAACATCAATGAGGTTAGGGTGTCATGTCAACACCTCTGCTACCCAAGGGAATGAAAGTGCAATGTGGAATGAAAGTGGGAATGAAAGACAGCAACGAAACAACGAAAAACCCAGTGGGGAGGCCGAGCTTAGCTGCTCTGAGGTTTGGAGAAAGAGCTAGATCCATTGGTACCATCTCTGAATTACCCCCCGCAGACAATCAAACACGCAAGCGTAAGGAGAGGAACGAATCAACACCCCAGGCATACCCAGTAAACTGCTTAAATCCAACACCAAGCTCGACAGAAGTGTGTCAGTTCCAGACGAGAGCTATGTTGACACTCCAAGTAGCAGCAGTGCGGTCGTCAACATGTCTTTAACATCCCTTCTACTTATTCCTGACTTCGAGCATCAAACCTCTGCCCAATCCTTTCAATGGATTGCTGAGAAACTGGTGGACTTGAAAAAATCTCAACAACAACAACAAGATAAGCACCTTGAGGATATTCTCCTAAAAGTCGATCGTAAAATTGATGCTATGGACGCCAGTGTAAAGCTCATCAAAGTTGACACTGAAAGGCTCAAAGAAGACCAACTCACTACGTCAAGAAGAGTAATGAAGCTAGAAAATGATGTCTCTAAGCTTGCCAATAAGGAAAACCCCTTATTGAAGGAGGCCCTGGACCGAATCAAAGCCTTGGAGGATGCTTCTCGGGCACAACTAGTAACTGGGACTGCTTCTGCTCTACATAAGGTAGTTTCAAGACTCTGATTTGCTCTTGATAATCAAATCAGCCTGGCCAGGCGCAATAACATAATTTTCAAAGGATTGGACCCTAGCTCATGTAATGTCGAAGCAGTGAAAAAGCTTTTAATTTCTAACTTCGAGATCTCCCCCAATGCTTTCTCTATCCGGACCATAGGCAAGCAGCAAAATACATTCGTAGTTCAACTGAACTCGTGGAAACCAAAATTATCTATTATGAAAACCAAAAGCACCAAACTTGCTGGCTCTAAAATTTCTACTGTGAATGATCTTACACCAAGAGAAAAACAGGTAGCTTATATGCTCAGAGAGAGAACCAAACTGGAAAGAAACAAAGGTAAAGCAGCAAAAATATTTCGTAATACAATTATCCTGGAGGATGGAGTCATTTCTTGGGATCCCGTGAGCAACAACCTTGTCTTCAAGCCTAATGAACAGTCGGCAAATCACATGGACATCTTGGACCATGTCCGTCCTGTTGACTATCCGCCAAGTGATTCCTCTGATCCACCAAAAAATGCAAAAAACGAAGCAGCCAGCACGTTGACAACCCTATAGCACTCTTCTGGAACTGTAAAGGTATAACTAAACTCGGTAACTTGTCCGCTAAATCTTATCCATTCTTCATTGGTCTATCAGAAACTTGGTTCCGCTTTATCCCATCCTATCTCACCCCTTGGTCTTCGAATTATACCTGCCATTGGGCAGTAGCAACTAGAGAAGCATCAGTAGGCAGAGGCAGTGGAGGCCTGGCTGTCCTAGTCAATAAAAATTTCGAATCTTCCCTGCTCTTCACCTCCCAATGGTGGATTTTTACAAAAATAAGGTTCTGCAACTCACATATCATCATCGAGCTCATCTACCTCACTCCAACCACAGATATTCTCTCCACACTCGAATTCCTCCACCCAGTCATCTCCAACTGCTAAGCTTCCTATAGGAACAAGCCTATTTTTCTAGGTGGTGACTTTAATTGCAGAGTTGCGCATCTGGATAAAGCAATCCCCCAGGAACTTCTGTACTGTACGGTACTCAGCCCCACTAGGAAATCCATGGATGTAGGCACTCCTAGCCATAAGATCAGATGTAATTTATTGTTGAGCTTCATATCAGACAATGACTTTGTCGTCCTCAACGGTCGCACTCCTGGGGATCTAGAAGGCTGCTTTTCATTCTGCGGGTCACAGGGCCTGAACAAGGTTGATTTTGTCTGGGGTAACTGTGAAGCGATCAGCAAAGTAAATTCTCTGAGAGTCAACGATGTCTCCTTCCAATCTGATCACTTCCCACTTTGCCTAGAACTTCTTGCTCCGAAACCCCACAGACTCAATGGATACTCCACTCCGCAATCCTCTCCTCGCGATCCACCAAGTCCCCAGTCTGCCTACACCCTCAGGTGGGAACAGGACCTGTTGTTACCGTACACCGCTGCTTTGAGATCTTTGCCCAACCTCCGGCTAGCCAACTCGCTGAATGAACCCACAACCCTCTACGACACGCTATGCACTGCGATCTCAGAGGCAGCTGCAGACTGTGGCATGGTAGAAAGGAGATGTCTCAAGCCCACCAAGGGTCTCCAGTCTATTCATCATCGATGGGAAGATTCAGAGATCAAGGCACTAAAAAACTCAGCGAATAGAGCACAACGAACCCTTCGCAGGAAAAAATTCGACCCTGAGTCAGTGGCAAAGTTTCATCAACTTGTCAAAGAGTACAGATTATGTAGAAAAAGAAAAATCAATGTACACCATAGAACTCTGAAGAACCGCATGACCAACGTGAAAAAGTCAGGAGAATTCTGGAGCACGGTGAAGAGTATCCGCTCTTCTACCTTCACTCCAAATGGGGTCTCTAAGGATAAGTGGAAACAATTCTACACTGGCATATACCCTCCAAGGACTTTCTCGGATCCTCTCATTTCGGACATCGCAGATTCGTTCTTAGACACAGACATAAGCCACGGAGAAGTGGTTCGTGCTCTCAAGAACAGCAAATGTGTCAAGGCTCCTGGTCCAGACGGTATTACCAATAAATTTCTTAAAAACCTCCCCCAGGAATGGGTGGTGATTGTGGCAAAACTACAGAAAAACGCCTGGAAAGAAGAAAAAATACCAGTCACATGGCCCAGTGCAGCATTAGCAATACTCTTCAAGAAAGGCGACCCCAGCGACCCTCTATATTACCGTGGTATTGCACTTACTAACAACATCCTCAAGTTATATACCGGAATTCTACACTCTCACCTAGAGACCTGGTTGAACTCACAGGGCATTCTGCCTGAAGAGCAGGCTGGCTTTCGCTGTGGGAGAAGCTGTCTTGATCAATCCTTCTCACTCTTCACTGCAGTGCAGTCAAAAATGAGGCTTTCAGGTAGCACAATCTACCTCATTTTCATGGACTTTCGTCGAGCCTTCGACTCGGTCCCTCACCACCTACTTTGGAAGAAACTTGGATCCATGAAAGTGAGTGGGAAGATCCTCAGAGTACTGGCCAATATCTATGACAACGCAGCAGTTAGAGTTCGCCTGGGATCAGAGTACACTCACAACTTGGGGGTAACAGAAGGAGTCCTTCAAGGGGACAAACTAAGCTCACTCCTATTCATCACTTACATCGCAGACTTCATAGAATTCCACAAGAGAAAGAACATAGAAGGGTTTGACATACATGGAAGAAATCTCAGAGCTCTGCTGTATGCAGATGAAACAGTACACTTTGCCAGATCTCTATCTGATGCTAGATACAACCTGAAATGCCTCTCGGAGTATTTTGATGCCAATGGGTTGATTGTGCACACTGGAAAAACCGACATTATGGTCTGCCGACCTTCTGGCAGAATTAGATCATTCGAAAAATCATCTTTTTTGTACAAAGGTCTTCCAGTCAAAACAGCGAAGCAATATACCTATCTAGGTACAACCCTAGAAAGTGCAATGAATGGCAGACAAGCAGCCAGTGCAGCTATGCAGAAGACGAGAATAGCAATCGGAACAGCCAACTCGATTCTTAGACGTTCCAAAGGAGATGACTGGCACTCCAGGATCAAGCTCTTCGACAGTTTGGTGTCTGCCACTCTGCTATATGGAATCCAAACCTGGGAAATAGATCATCTAGATGAAATAGAAAGGATTCCAACTGACTACTTCAAACGCATTTTCCTCCTGCCTAGAAATACTCCTGGATATCTGATCAGATTCGAGTTAGGCACTCATCCTCTAGCCTTACGTGCTCTGCTCTCCATGTGGGACTGGGTCCACGTGCTGAAAATGAACCAGTAAAGACGGCCCTACATCTGCTTACTTGAATTAATCCGTCTTTCTCGTGCTGCATCCTACAAAGCTGAGTTCAATTGGGTAGTACGAGTGGACACAATTTTTTCCTCAATAGGGTTTCATTCGATGTTTGACCACCTAGATCCAAACTACTGGCTTGGACAAAGACAAAACTTCCTGGATGCTCTGTCGCTCAAGCTAAGAGCCAACGACTATGGTAATTACTTGTGCTCCAGTTCAGCTCAAGTTCAACTGATACGAAGCAGTGGGGATGGTGCTGGCAATTACCTTTTCTGGAGAGGTGGTATCCACGCCACTAGAATTGCCATGCAACTGAGACTAGCTAACAATTTTGTTTGTGGAATTACCCACAAAGGTTCAACTTATAAGCTAACCCCTGCATCACCGTGCCGCTACTGCTGCTTGAACGCACTGGAGACCATTGAACACCTCATACTGCACTGGCCAGTGGAAAGGGCCCAAAGAGGAAAGCACCTTGGTGCTCTAATAGCTGACATACCTGAAGAAATCCACTTTCTGAGAATCCTGTCTATCCCCACTCGCAAACACCTATTTTTTTCCTTTTTAACTTTATATCCGAAGTCCTCAGTACCAGACCAATACTCCCTGACACGCTCTTCTCAGCCTGAATAATCCTCAAATCCCCGGGCTACCGGCACACAGACACGCTGCTCTCAAACGTTCATTTTTTCTCACTGCAACTCAATTCTGTGCTATTCTTTGCTATTTTATTTTATTCAACGTGCTGCTCTTACTAACTAACTGATTTTATTTGCTAACAGGATCTGATTCTTACTCTGCTTGCTGTATCCCGCATTACTATGCTTTATTATTGGTGTCAATTTGAAGTTACTTTTGTTACTGGTTCTGCAAACCTAACAGCTTCTTATTTTTCATCATCTTTTGTGAACATACTTTTAGCGCATACCCTCTTGCTATAAGAGATTCTTGTAATTTTCTCATAAAGCAATAAATCTACACATACATACATAACTTCGATATATATATATACATATAGATAATATACTTTCATTCAACTAACGGACTTTTGATCGGTTTCCGTCACCGTTATAATTTCTTACATTTTCTCTTCTTTAGCCTAACTTACCACTAACTTAAACCTATCTTATCCTATCCCCAACTACTATGTCTTCTCTCTCCCTCTCTGTGCCTCTTATTCCCTGGCTAATTTCCTTCTCTCTCCTCTCACCGCCCGGGCCAACGCTTCCGGTTTCGTGGCTTTTCCATTTCCATCAATCACATATCCCGTTCCCCGCGTTCCCGCCCGTTTCTTCTCTCTTCCCTTCTCTTCTCATTTCCAGTTTTCTCAGCCAACTCGCGCCTCTTCCATTTTCACTCAACAAATCGCAATACCTTCTCTCCTAACGCTCTATTCCACTCACTATCCGGCTCATCAGTACACCTTTCAACCATATGTTCCCACGTCTCCTCTTCCCCCCCCCACACACTCTGCATACCCTCTTCGACTCATCCTTCCAATAGTCCGCTTCCAGCATCCCCCCCTTCCCTAAATTTGAACATCCTCTGCCACTTTTCCTCCTTTTTCACCGGCACCTGGTCCGTCGATCTGGTGAACTTGTACCACCTGTTGTATCTGGACTCCATGATTTTTCCCCACCGCACCTCCCTCTCCTTTCGTTTCATTTCCCCCTCTATTTCCTCCCATTGATCCCTCTCTCTCATCCTCCATTCATCCTTGGCACTCTTCCTCAGTCTTCTCCCATTTACTCAACTTGCATCGATACTCACACTCTCTTCTCTCGAATTCCCTCAGACACTCCTTAACCAATACATTCCCATCCCCGTTTCACATTTTCCACTCAAAGCCCCACGCTCTTTTCCTCATCCTCGCCATCAAACTGTTCCTACAGATCTCATCCCTCACCATATAACCTGGACATTGCCTGCTCACTCCAAATACCTACTTCATAAACTTCTCCTCCATAGCTTCCATTCTTCTGCACCTGTTCCATCCCCACAATTCCACCCCATAACACATCGTCGTCCATACCAATGCATCAAACAACCACAATCTTGTCCTCCAGTCATTCCTAAACCTTTTCTTCCCAATCGCCCACACTTTCCCCATCATCCTGCCCGCCGCTTTCCCTCTCATCTTTATATGCAACTCGTCACTTCCGTTCCTCACCAGCCAGCATCCCAAGTAACAGAATTCACTCACTTCATTCACTTCCTGTCCATTCATCCTCCACAATCTCTCTACCATCCACGTCCTCTTCCTCTTTCCACACTCCATCATCTTCGTCTTCCTCACATTCACTACCAGATCCTTTTCCTTCACGTACTGCTCAAACTCTAGTATCACCCTCCTTTCCTCTTTCTCTGCATCCGCTCTTCCAAATCCGACAATAACAGGCTAAAAAGAATCGGACTGAGCGAACATCCCTGTCTCAGTCCTCTGTCCGTCCAAAACTCCTCTCCTATTGCCCCTCCCGCCTTTACCCTACCTATTGTCTCTCTGAAAGCTTCCTTAATACTCTCTATCTCTCTCTCGTCTATCCCTCTCTCTAAGATTGTATCCCCCAGGAATCCCCTATGCACACTGTCAAATGCCGCCTTAAAGTCGACAAATAAGGCAAACAAACTCCCTCCTTTTTGCTGGACCGCCCTGTTCACGAAGAATTTGAGCACGAATATATCCTCCATCGTACCCATTTCCGTCCTGAATTCTGCCTGATTATGGCGGATTATCCCTTTTGCTTTCGTCTCCTCTTCCAGCCTTCCTCAAAATTTCCATATAAATTTTATATGATGTCGGCATTAGGGTCACCCCCCGATAATGATCCACTCTGTTCCCCTCCCCTTTTTCTGCACCGACGCGACCAACCACACTTTTCACTCCTCCGGCCACCCTTCACCACTACATACTTTCCAACATACCTTCCATATCGCTCTGGTTACCTTTCCTCCCCCCCATTTGAACACTTCATTCTCCAACTCATCAACTGCAGACGACTTCCCCATTTTCAGCTTCCTCACCACACTTCTTCCATACTCGGCTCGCCAACACTCTCCACTTCCACTCTCCTCCTTCCATGTCCCACCACCCTTCGATCCACTCCTCCAAGCAGTTCTGCAAAATAATGTGATCATTCAGTCATTCCAATTCTGTCATACCCTCCTTTCTTCCTCTTTGTCTCCCTGTTTACAACCTCCCATTCCCGCCCCTCCCTCACTGCTTCTTCCACCTCCTGCTCATATCTTTTCCTTTCCTCCTCCTTCTTTGCCTTCAGCATGGATTGAAATTTCTTCCTTTCCTCGTTCCATTCATCCTTACCCACCACTCCCTCCCTCCATTCTTTCGTCTTCGCTTTCACGCTTTTCTTTGCTTCCACACATTCATCTTCCCACCACCCGCTCTTCTTCTTCTCCTCTGACAACTCCAATGCCATCTTCATCGTTGCATTCTCGACTCCTGCCCGCACTCCCCTTAAAATATCATTCACGCCTTACCCTCCACATCCCCCGCATTCCATTCACTCATACACTCATTAAACATCATGCTTCCTCTCTCCCCATACTTGGCTATTGTCGGGGTCCTTCTTCTGCCCCCTCTCCCCTCCTCGACAGACCTTCCTCGCTTCTCTTCCCCTCTTCCACTCTCACTCCGTAGGCGCATGGCCACCCCAAAATGATCCTGGCTCGTTTCCCACATTCATACTCCTTACAAATTTCCTCGCTCTCTCATCCCCTAATACATAATCAATCACAGTTTCTCCCCTTCTTGCAAAAGTGATCTCTCCATTCTCATCCCCCTCCGTATTCCCATTTAAGATAAACCATCCCCTCTGTGCCATGCATTCCAGTAGCTTCTCCCCCTGTTCATCTGCCTCCTGTCTTACCTGCTTCAATGCTCTTCTGCAGTAAACTACATCCTCATCCCACAACTCCCCTCCTCTTTCCCCTGTCCACGCATTACAATCCCTTCCCTATTAATATTAACCTTTCGTTTTTGATATCCATCCACTTTTCTATTTCCTCAATTCCTTCGCTCACCCCCCTCTCCGGATACACTCCCACTACCACCACTTTCACACCACCTAACCACACCTCTCTCATGGTCACTCCTCTCACCCCTCCGCATAGTTCTTCCCCCTTCTTTCCTTCTCTGTCGTCATGCTTTCCTTCACCCCTGACAGGAGCCCCCCATTCCCCTCCCTTTCCTGAAATCTTTCGTCGCTTCCTGCACTCTCCACACGTACCCCTTTGGCGCCCTTCCCTTCACTCCTTTCCATCCTTCCGCATTTAACCACGTCTCGCTTAGCATAATTACGTCCCACTTCCCTATATATTCCCAGAAACATTTATTTTTGTTCATTAAGCCCGCCACATTCCAAAACAGCACGCTGCACTCTACTTCTTGCGTCTCTCGCATCCTTCCTCTCTTTCCCCTCCCCTTGTCCCCTTTCCCAAACCTTCCTTGACGATATAATCCCCCCGAAACCCCACCCCCGCCGACGTCGGTGGCCGAAGCGGCTAGGTGCGAGCCTAGTGTGCGAAAGGTTGTGAGTTCGATTCCCTGTGGAACCGAGTTTTTCAACCGGAGACTCCGGCGAGCGGGAAGTCGCTAATATAATGACCGCCTGTACCGGCATGGGTTTTCTGTGGTTTCCCATGCTACTCCTGTGTTCTATAGGAGTGCGAATGCGGTGCAGTGTAGAAGCCACAGCCGCATGCATAGGGTTGGATAGGGCCGATTAGCCAATCAGAGGGCAGAAATGGCCGGAATATAAAAAAAAAAAAAACCCACCCCCGATGCGGCGCCGGTATACCTTCACTCCTCCTCGTTCTCCTAAGATTCCCTCGTTGTACCTCCTGGAGACCTCCCTCCAGCTTTACTAGGTCATCACTCTCCCAATCCCACCTCCATTCTTCTCCATTCACCCACACCTGTTCCCCCCTATTCCTCACCATATTCCCTTTCTCCCTTTCCTTTCTCACTCTCTTCTCCATCATCCATCTCATTCTTCTTTCGTCCCACGTTAGATCACCATCTATTCTTTCCTGTCTCCCTCTCAGCTCCCTCTTGCCCAGCATCACTTCTCTCTTCATCTCCACACTCGCTAGCCTCGCCCACACTATCACACCCGACCCTCTACCCGCATCATTACCAATTCTCCTTGTTTCTTCCACATCACCCCTCACTCCAAACATTCCCAGCAATCTCTCCACCTCTTCCTGCCCATTTGCGCTTTCCACTTTCATCCCTCTCACTATAATATTTCTTCTCCATTTCTCTCTTTCCTCCCTTTCCGCTCTCTCCCCCAGAGTCCTCATCCTCCTGTATCACTCTACTCCATTCATCCCCTCCCTTCCCTCCTCGTTCCTTTTTTTCCTCTCTCTTACCTCTAGTGCTCTCATTCTCTCTTCCATTCGTCTCATCTCCCCCTTCCGCTCTTCTTCCCTCATCACTGCTCTCACTTCCATGCTCTCAATTTTCTCCCACAACTCTCTACTGTCTTCTATCCACGCATTCTCCCATTCACCCAACTTCACTCGCATACTTTCCACCTCGCTCTTCGTCTCACTTCCCTGCCTCTGCACCGCTTCCAGTTTCGCCAACATCTCACCCTTCAGTCCCGAAATCAACACCGCCAGATCCTGCAACTCTATTTTCTCCTTCTCTCCCTTCTCTGGTGTCCTCTTCGTTTTTTTACTTCTCCGGAAAATATCTCTAAGACCTCCTCCTACTTCCTCCCCTTGCTGTTCCCTTTCTCTCTTCCTTCTCTCCTCGCCCCCCGTTTCCACTTCACTTCCTGAACTGGTCATTCTCCAGACCTCGAGACTCGAAAATGCCGCGTGTCGCTGCCCTTCCATCCTCAACTTCTCCACATTCGTCTTTCTTCCCCTCCACCCATCCATACCTCCACTTTCATTCACATCCATACCAATCCTCCTTCTCCCCAACATCTTCGGCATACTCCATACCTCTGCCTCATTCGCTGATTCCTTCTCACTCTCCTCTATCTCCTCTCCTCTTCCACTCATTTCCTCCTTCGTTCTCCTTACCACACATACAGAAAACACCAGTTCAGACCCAGAGCCTCTCCCTCCTTCTTCTTTTCTCGCGCCTGTCTACTCTCCCTGCTTTACCGACTACCAATTGCCCCAGTTCCCTTTCTCGCCACCACTCACTCGTGCCTCTCCTTTGCTCTTTCTCACACCAGCAATCACTCCTTTGCCGCTCTTTCTCACGCACACACTCGTACTTCCCTTCACCACACTCACCACCACATGCACCTTTCCACTCTCCTTTTTCCTAACCTCTCACACCCTCACTCACACTTTACTCATCCACTCTTCTCACTCACTCTCTCCCGCCCACTTTTTTAATACTCTCGCCTCCCCTTATTATATATATATATATAATTTGATAAATAAATTCATAATTCCCATTTATCTATTATATAATCAATTGAACGTCTTTTGCATAATTTGAAAACTTCTTTTCTCATACAAATTATTGAAACCAAAGATAAAAATTTAATTTTCAGTCACACATTTCTTCTCTTTTATATGAAAATTGTTCAAAAGAATCATGCGTAAGCAAAAAATACAACGCACGCAAGAAGAAGAGAAAGAATTTCAAAAGATGAAATGCCAAAGAAGAACTGCTCAACAACGTGCATATTATCAAAGAAAAAAGAAAGAGAGAATAAGCATCGAATATGATGTCTCAAATGATCAAAAGAATAATAATCACATCGTTTTGAATGTCGATCTACGTCCAGAAAATATCAATGAAAGACTAGATTCTCCCAATAACCATTCATTTAATCAACATTCTAGATCTCATCCTTCAAATATTCGTGATATTTCGATTTTAGATATTGAAGAACATTACATTGGACCAATGAATGTTTCATGCGACCATTGTAATGCAATGCATTTTAGTGCTGAAAAAGTACCTGATAAAAATAACTCTTTTAACGATTGTTGTAGTCATGGCGAGGTTGCCATTGATCCTTTACCTGATCCGCCTGTCATTTTACAAGAATTATTCAGTGGTAATCATGAAGAATCCAAAAGATTTCTTGAGCCTATTCGATACTATAACAATTGTTTTGCTTTCGCTTCATTCAATGCTAATTTAGTCAACTTCGATAATAGGCGCCCTGGACCATATTGTTTTAAAATACATGGTCAAATTTATTATCAAATTAATAGGTCATTATATAATTCTGCAGATGAAAAACCTTCTTATGGACAACGTTTCATTGTTGATCAGAGTGAAGCTACAGATATTCAATATGAGCAATATTCTTCACTGAATAAAGAAGTTCTCACAGCAATAGATAATGCGTTTCGGGAATGCAATCCACATGCTAAATCCTACCGAATGATGCATGAAGAAATACAAAAAAAATAATAGATAATAAATTGCAAAATGAAACTGAAATGTAATTATTATTTTCATTGAAACCTGGAATGGATAGACGACATTATAATTTCCAAAGAGTGAATGAAGTAGCTGCTATTTTCACGACAAATGCTGATGGTGAAATTCCAGATGCTAATGTTACAATATATAATAAACGTGAGAAACGACTTCAGTACATAAGTTCTTTGTACGAATATGTTGAAGCTTGGATTTACTCATTATTTTATCCACATGGTTCTAAAGGTTGGCATGATAAAATATCATGTGTTACGAAAAATCATCGAATCTCACAAGCTCAATACATTAAGTATCGAATGGCAACACGAGAAAATATTTTCTTAATGGGCGGAAGATTATTTAAACAATGGATTGTTGATAGTTATGTAAAAGTGGGACAAGACAGAATAAATTTCTGCAAACAGGATCAGAAAAAGCTTCGTGCTGATACTTATCAAGGATTAATTGATTATTTACAACACAGCCGAAAATACGAAAAATCATGTAGGGAAAATATTAATCCTTCTATCATCATTCACAGGATCTCCACGAAATATGTTGCAAAATTATCAAGATGCAATGGCAACCGTATGCAAATATGGGAAATCTGATTTGTTTATAACAATGACTGTAATCTAAATTGGAGAGAAATAAGAGAAAATCTTTTAAAGAATCAAACACCAGATATTGTTTCACGTGTTTTCGACATTAAGAAAGATGAATTAATCAAAATTATCACAAAAGAAAAACGATTTGGTGAAGTACTTGCATATGTTTATTTAATCGAATATCAGAAACGTCGATTACCCCATTGTCATCTATTATTAACATTGAAACAGCATTGGAAGATAACTACCCCTGACATTGTTGATAAATATATCTCAGCTGAAATTCCAAATCTTCAAGAAGATAGAATCCTTCACAATATAGTATTAAAACAAATGATACATGGACCATGCGGAAACAGGTGTAAGAACGATGAAGGTAAATGTACAAAAAAATTTCCTAAAAATTTCCAAGAACACTCATCAATGGATGAAAATGGATATCCCTACTATCGTCGATGAAACACAGGTGTTTACACTCGCTTTAATGGTGAACAAACTGATGATCAATACGTTGTTCCATACAATCCAAAATTATTAAAATTATTAAATTGTCACATCAACATTGAAGTCATTACTAGCATCAAATCAGTTAATTACTTATACAAATACATTTATAAAGGACATGATGCAGCAGCCGTCATGATCACAGATAGAAATAATAATGAGAGTACCATTGATCGTGATGAAATTCGTAATTATCTCGAGACTCGATACGTAGGTCTCGTTGAAACCTGTGATCCAATTTTTGGACGGCCATTGCAACATAAGAGTCATGCAGTTATTCGCTTACCAATACATCTACCCGGTCAACATACTGTAACTATTGACGGTGCAGCCAATGACGATTCTATAAGAACAGCATTAGAGAAACAAATATGTTAATTGATTATTTAGCTCTGAATATGCGCGATCCTGAGGCAAAACAGTATACATATTCAGAAATTCCATCTTATTATGTATTAAAAAAAATAGCAAATTCGAATATATCAAGATGGGAAAAACGACAGGCACATTTTAATGTCACTAGCGGTGCTCGCGGCCGCAAGCGGCCGCTAGTTAGTGCAGGTTTTCATGAGTTCCAAAATGCGAATCTCCATGAAAATCCTTATAAAAAATAATCCGCCATTGTTCATTTCGAAACAGCTCCGCAATTCAAATGAATTTTCTCGTTGAAGCTATAAACTGAGCATATAATTCTGTGTGTACATGATTTTTAACAGTATTTCNAGCTATAAACTAAGCATATAATTCTGTGTATACATGATTTTTCACAGTATTTGATTCTCTCTGGCTTCCTAGATAGATTTTCAGAGAGTCCCATGAACGAACACGTGATAATGCTACATACAATTGTCCATGATTGAAAACATCACGCCTGAGATCAATTCCGATTTTTTCGAAAGTTTGCCCTTGTGATTTATTGATTGTCATAGCAAAGGCCAGTTTGACAGGAAATTGCTTTCTGCCGAAGGAAAAGGGGTAATCATCATCACTGTAGAGAGTGATACGATTAATGCAAACTATTTCTCCCGTTTTATCACTAGTTAAGATTTGGCACTGTAATAAATGATTTGTTAATTCTAAAATTTGTAATCGTGTTCCATTACATAGTCCTTCACTTATAGAAAGGTTTCTGATCAGCATAACAACAGTGTTAGTCCTTAATCGTAATTCATGAGGAGGTAAACATGAAGGATTCAATGTCTCTAAATATTCTGGTAGAATCGCTTCAGTCATTTCTTCATTATCACAATTTTTTACAGAATTGATGCTGTTATAAATTTTTTCCGTTGATTTATCTAATAGTTCAACAACCCGTTTATTGATATCATCAACATCAACATTCCTTGCTGACAATATTGCTCATTTCGTCAATTTTTCATAGCGTTTGGTCCTAATTACCTCACCATATATATCTTCCGCGATATCTGCATTTGGAGGTGCTATGCGCTCTTCTGGTAAAGATATCTCGCAGTCGTTGCTATTCAATGTTCCGTCTCCAACTGATAAGAGAAATCGGGCAAATTCAGTTTCTTCTCGTAGGGCGCGCATGTTTTCAGTCAGAGAGAATATCTTAAACACAGGCCATAAGGGACTGAACTTGATTGATAAATCGACTAATTCAGTACGAGTGGCATTTTTCTTCACCAGTAGCAATGGACGAAAATCTCCTCCTAATAATATAACTTTTCCTCCGAATGGTTTCTCATTGTTCATTATATCACGGAGAGTTCGATCAACCATTTCCAAAGCATGTCTAGGTGCCATTGGCGCTTCATCCCAAATGAACATGTCAATACTTCTTAAGTAGTCTGCTTCTGTTGATTGGGCACTAAGAGTTGGTGATGAATCAGTGTAGTATAGTGCAATTGGTAATTTGAATGTCTTATGGACCGTTTTCCCATAAGGGAGTAGTGTTGCAGCTATACCTGTGAAAGCCATAGTACAGATATTTTCCCTTTACTTCGTTGCAAATGATATAAGGTTGTGTAGATAAATGTTTTACCTGATCCACCTGGTCCATCAATGAAAAAACATCGTGCTTCTGGGTCATTGCAATTTTCATCAGATGATTTTTCCAAAATCGTGTCAACAGTATACTTCTGTTGTTGATTGAGTTTCTGATACTGTCCTGTGCCAATGGCCTCATGTTCTTCGGGGAGCATATTATCCTCAATATCATCATCAGTTTCTGTGATTTGGCGCATTGATGGAAAATTCGCGAGATTTGATCTTTCTTGAGTGAGTAATGAATTTATTTGTATGTAAGCTTTTCTTTGTGCCTGTAATGGCGACATTGTTCTCGAGAAATCTTGTGATAACGCATCTTTGAATTCATTCCATAATTGTTCGGGATGAATAGGTCTACAGTGAACTAAAATACGTACGAATAACTGTCGTAATTGTCTACGCATCATCCAAATTTCAGCTTCATGAAGGGCATTCTTCCATTCATCATCGTCTTCAATCAAACCTAATGCTAAACATGTACTGACATAACT